TCAGAAATTTCCCAATGAGAGGTGGGCAGAAGCAGCACTTCTGTGCTAATACAATAGATATTATTATTACACGGGATTTACATGGTGCCAACAGTTTGCACAGCACCTTATAAAGTAAATGGAGACATCAGTGTACACAGAGAACTGCTGTGCCGGACTACCGACACCAAAAATTCTCTAGCCCAACCAAAAGGACATCTGTGACAGCTCCACCCTTAAAGGAGAACTCTGAGGTCAGGTCTTTCCCCCATAGTTCTCCTCAGGGTAACGGGAGGACACAAACTAGCGTCCTCCCGTCACCCTAGGCTCAGTATATAGGGAGCTACAGCTCGCGGTATACTGAGACGCCGCAGCCGGAGCGGATCCCGACATCGATGTCGAGATCCGCCCAGCTGCGTGAGTGACAGCTGGCTCCTCCTATCTAGAGGCAGAGCCAGCTGTGCCCGCCCCCTCCCCCGTCCGTTCCGCCAGTCAGCGCTGGAGGATCGGAGCGGGGAGGGGGGAATCCCGCTCACGGAAAAGAGCCATGACAGGATCGAGAAGTGAGCGAACGCCGGTATGTGTTCGCTCACCTCCCGATCTACTGAGCCGACCTGTGACAGTCTCATTGTCACAGGTCGGCTAGAACTATGAGGTGAGTGAAAAGCACCCCCTCCCTCATAGTTCTCCTTTAACAAGCCATCAGTCCCTGTGCAGCTAAATCCAGATAATGGTTCAGACCTCACACAGCCCCAACTCTCTCATAGAACTCTTGGTATCTAAGGCTGTCATTCAGTGAGCGGAACATCCAATGGGTAAAAGGAAAGATCTGAGCTCCTCCCTGGGGAAGCCTCTAAATAAAGGGGGAATATCACAAATCACTGATTTCTACTACCAGTAAGTGTGCGCGGCCGCTATCACCTACCTTCCTGTGCGAGAGACCCCGGGATCACCAGCAGCAACACCAGCACACGCAGCTCCATCTCCCTGAATAACATACAAAATGATGATTAATGTCGGCTGTGCGAGAATGCAGCATTGGTTTAGTAGAATAGGAACGGGACTTTATGGCCAAAAAGGTGTCTGGACCTTGTCTCATGTGAGTGGACACAACCATTGCAGACACAGATATCTAACCCGACAGCAGAGCCATCTCCAACAACAAACACGGCTCTACACCTCTTCATAGAGAGGAGTCCACTGACTGACAACATGGCGCCATTACATCATTGAGACTAACGAGATCCTCACATTTCTGCCCTGACAGAGCTTCGTGATTGGTGAACTTGCTCAGGTTTGGTTCTCGGGTGCATTTGGCAAACGTGCTGAAACATTTTAATGAAATCAACAGTAGGGATGGGCCGAGTGTTCGATTTGAAGATGAGTTCGAATCGAACACCGGCAGTTCGAGCGCTCGCCGGACGTTATGGGTTGTTCGCGGTTTGTTCGACCGTGGACATTCCATAATACAAAATGCCCACCGAAGCTCTGACAGACAGATAGGTATTCACAAAAAAATATATTACTGTATTTGGCAAGTGCTTATATCTCCTTTATAATATGCTAGGTTCCTGGTTGTCATGCTGATCCTCTGGCTTTAATCATGTGAGTCACTGCCCAGGATCAAGGATACAGATTAGGATTTCTGACTCCTCTGATCTGTATTCTCAGGGTCAGTCACCGGGGTTTTCAACTTAGTTCAACTCTGTCCTCCATCATTGTGTATTACCTGCAATCTCTGTACGTTGTTGTTGTTGGTCGAAGTCTTTTCCCTTTCTCCAGCCTCGGCCCTCTCAGCGCTCTGAAGATCCTCTTGTCAATGGTGAGATGTTCCGATGGAGGGTGTTATAAAGTCTCTTCCTGATTAATAACTCCTCCCCCGTCGTGCATCAATGAGATCCCCATTGCACAATACAAGAGCCTCATAGTCCAGCACAAACAATATCATAGAATAATAAAATATTGCACAGTGAGCAGTAACCCTTTCATGTCCATCGGTAACCAAAGCCCATGTGACCAGATCACATGATGAAGTTTTAGTTTGAGAAACTTCGTACAACAATAACTTTCAAAACTATTTGCAAACCAAATTTTTTTATCACATATACTCCTTTTAAAATGTTTTATAGTATATGTTTGTAATATCTTTACTAACTTATATTCTTTTTTTTGTCCTGGTTACAGGGACCCCAAATATGAACAGGTTTTGTCACATGTTAGGTGTGTGTTCATGAATCCAAGAAATGGCTCCAAGGAGCTTGCTGCTAAATCAAAGATTCATTAAAAAGATAAAAGGAACCAACAACCGGACATCATTAAAAAAGCTTTCATGAGTTTCACACAAACGTACACCATATGACTAAGCACCTTCCATGTGAAACACATTACTGCTTTCTTATTGATGTCCAGTTGTTGCTGCCTTTTATGTGTTTAACTACTTGTAGACACTGGGAATACTACAGATACCCAAGTCTACAGGGTGTATATATACACCCTGTCCTTCTACACATCTGCCCCCCTCCCTCCCCAGCACTTTCTGGCAAGAACTGGCTATCCAAAATGACAGCCAAAAGTTTGTGTGAAAATACAGCAGTCGTAGAATCTGCTGCTCTTAAAAAAATTACACATTGTTTATAAACATTGATCAGAGGGAGATAGAGAGATACAAAGTAACATTGTTTATAGACATTGATCAGAGGGAGATGGAGAGATACAAAGTAACATTGTTTATAGACATTGATCAGAGGGAGATGGAGAGATACAAAGTAACATTGTTTATAGACATTGATCAGAGGGAGATGGAGAGATACAAAGTAACATTGTTTATAGACATTGATCAGAGGGAGATGGAGAGATACAAAGTAACATTGTTTATAGACATTGATCAGAGGGAGATGGAGAGATACAAAGTAACATTGTTTATAGACATTGATCAGAGGGAGATGGAGAGATACAAAGTAACATTGTTTATAGACATTGATCAGAGGGAGATGGAGAGATACAAAGTAACATTGTTTATAGACATTGATCAGAGGGAGATGGAGAGATACAAAGTAACATTGTTTATAGACATTGATCAGAGGGAGATGGAGAGATACAAAGTAACATTGTTTATAGACATTGATCAGAGGGAGATGGAGAGATACAAAGTAACATTGTTTATAGACATTGATCAGAGGGAGATGGAGAGATACAAAGTAACATTGTTTATAGACATTGATCAGAGGGAGATGGAGAGATACAAAGTAACATTGTTTATAGACATTGATCAGAGGGAGATGGAGAGATACAAAGTAACATTGTTTATAGACATTGATCAGAGGGAGATGGAGAGATACAAAGTAACATTGTTTATAGACATTGATCAGAGGGAGATGGAGAGATACAAAGTAACATTGTTTATAGACATTGATCAGAGGGAGATGGAGAGATACAAAGTAACATTGTGTATAAACATTGATCAGAGAGAGATAGAGAGATACAAAGTAACATTGTTTTATAAACATTGTTTATACTGGACTAAATGGACAAGCTGATGATTAAATAGTGTATTGGTGTTTGCATCATCACTCTGATTCAGGAATTTGTCAGAAGTTTTGCAAGTAGTTGAAGAATAATGATGTTAAGAATCCTCTTTCAGGGAATGTCTGTTCCCGCTCCTGCTCGCCATCCTGACACCTTTTCCCATGATCCTGGGCCCCCCAGAAGAGCTGGAGAGCCCAGAAACCACAGTGGGGGGGGGGGGGGGAC